AAAATAATGATGAAGGAGGGAGATTACAGTCGAATTTAAGGTTATTAATAATATTTTTTTACGTACAATACTTTTATTTATTCATTTTTTCCATACAACAAACTTCCAACGCTCTCCTAAACACACTGTGGGCTGGAGGCGGAAGTTAGGGGTTGGGAATAGATATACAAATAAAAAAGGAGGAAGATGTTAATCCGTATAACATTTAGTAATCCAGCCCGATCGGATCGATGGCGGATCGAGCCTGTTTGTGATTAGTAGCTCTATTGATCTCAGTGACATCATGTGAACACACCTGACTGATGCTTCTGTCGCTAACAGCTTGTCAGAATTAAAATAAATCCGCGGGGGCTTCCACGACCTTTATGACAAATATATATATTTTTCACCGTGCTTGTTTCAGATCTCGCCTACTCTCTATAGATCAGGCCACGGAGACGGAGGAGAACGGCATTTGTCTTTTTCCAATTTGCCCAAATGACTGATAATTGCGCCCGGATAGCTTTTTGAAGGATAACAGATTCACGGGAAAAATCCCAGCGACGTGTGAGGCTGAGATATTCCCTAAAATAGATAAATAGAATTATTAAATGAATAGAAAAGAAAAAAAGGATCAAGTTTCCTTTTACTTGTTTTTCTTTTAAACAAATATTTTTTAGACGTATTTCTCGTCTAATTCTACCCAATTTAACTCGTAGAAAAATGCCCAGAAAAGCTTAACTGATAGATTTCAGGTTTTCGGAAATGGGCTTTTTGGGCCTGTTTTTGGCACCTGTTGTTCTAAAAAATATTGTCTCTGTCGTGGCCGCAGAGGCCTCCTGAAAGCCACTATTTCTAAATAAGTTGGCTTTCCTTTTTTGAGTGAAACCAAGAGCAGAGAGGAAATGTGCGTCCAATTCTTCCTGCCAATCGATCAGACTGCGGATAGATCGATATGGCACCAGGGCTATTGATCAATATGGTCCTCTATTGCTGGGCACTTTCAAATGCAAATGCACCTAAATAATAATCTATGGCAACACACTAATTCCTTAACAAACTGCAGGCAAACGCTTTACAAACACAGCGATTCGACGTGCGAGGGACTCCGGTTTTTTCCTTTTTTCCTCCCCTAACATTTGGCTCTTTTTCTGTGTGGCTGCAGAGCTCTGGCTGTGAGACACACTGTTTAACAGTGGGCCGCCGTTTAAAGATTTAACAGGACAAATACGGAACATTCAAAATGCAGGGCCACATTGATCCGGCCTATGCGGCCGATTGGAACTTTGACCGAAAACCAGCCAGATAAGCTCAAACTTTTTAGGAGACGTGGAGAAATAAAAAACATTTCCTCTGTGACGATGAACGGAACTGAACAACAAAATGTCCCCCCGTTTTAATCTAAATTACACGAATAGTTTGGAGTGTTTCGTGCGTTTTGAATTTTACGCAAAAATCTTTGCGCCTTTTTTTTCTTTCTTCCTGGTTGTTTGGGGGGCCTTTTGGTCGCGTAAATCTCTCCCAACTCAATCAGGCAGCCGCTTGCTTAAAGTATAGAGCCAAAGGCAAACAAGGCAGATGTTGGGAGTTTTGTCTGAAGGAGGCCTTAGCCTCGTGTGTGTGTGAGAGTGTGTGTGTGTGTGGATTGGGTGGATAGCTGCAGCTCCTCTCGTCCCGCTGACTTCCTCAGCGGCCTGATCAATGCGACATTACTAAACACTGCTACTTAACTTTTGCCAATAGCCAGATTCAAGTAAATATACTTTAGAATACATTAAGCGTGATGCATCAGCCGCCGAGTCATTCAAGAAGTCATGAAAAGATTAGTCTGTCTCTATCGAGTGATTCCTGGGAAAATAGACAAGCAGCCAGCAGAACACACTCTCATTAGGATACAGTCTCCAGATGAAATCATGCAAGGGTCCAAAACAATTTTCCCTCTTTAGTTTGGAGGATAGAAAAAAAGAGAATCGCAGCTTTGTTTGTGAAAATGTTCCAGGGTTAAAATCTGGGGGAAAAAACATCTAAAACTCCACAATAATGGAAAGAGTTCGATAAAGAAATAATACTAAATATGGGAACCGTTCTCTAAAGCGTGTAGCCTAAATTAAGACAAGAAAACACTCTTTTGCCTCGTAGCTTGCAGACTCTGAAATGGAAGATTCTGCTCCTTCTCTTCGGTCATTTTCAGCCTCGTTGAGACCTCAAACACACAAGTGGGCGAACCGAACTTTGGGTGGATGTTTGCCTCCGTCTAGCCTTCAGAAAATCACTGAGAGGCGCTCTGTGCATTGACTGAGTGACTAGCAAAGGAGAGAAGGGCTACAGGATGAAAGAAAAGATAAAAAAAACTATAAACAAATGTTTTTGGGGCCTCATCAGGACTCTAGAGCCTAAAATAATTCACCTTTTCTATTTATATTTTGCCATTATACACACTCATCCCTTTGTGTGTGTGTGTGTGTGTGTGTTTGGTGTGTGTGTGTGTGTGTGTGTGTTGGTGTATGTGTGTGTGTGTGTGTGTGTATAAAGTCGATGCCAACGTGGGCTGAGGCCACCTCCTCGCCCGCTGGTGTTAATATGAAATAAATCACCACGTCTGTGCAGCATTGCCCGGTCACGGAGATATTGACACGGTTAATATTTTATACTGTATCCGCCATAGGAGACGCTTATTTAGCTCCTGGAGAACAGGAGACTACATTAAAAGACGAATTAACACCCAGCTCCGGGCTTAGATTGTGTGTGTGTGTGTGTGTGTGTTTTTGGGGCGAAAACGAGGTCTGCTGTTTTGTCTGTTTTAAAAATATATTTAAATGTATTTTTTTGGTTTTCCATGTAAACGATTCCAACAACAAAACAAATAGCGGGGGTCAGTGGTTGATTGACCCCGCGGATGAGGGCCGTAAAACGGCCGGACACCCACAGACAGGAGCAGGTGCCAAGTCCCCCAAAGTTGCCGGTCAATTTCAAACTTCCCCCGCGCTCTTGTTTTTTGGGGGGATTGTAAAAGCCCGATGAATTAGGAGCACGGAGCCATGAGAGTGAGCATCCATCACCACCGGCACCACTGAGCCTCCGTGGCCGGCTGACCGTGCACAGATGACGGATTCGCTGCCGTGCGGCGCCTCGGTAATTCATTTTCGATAGCGGTGGTTGCCGGGATCGATACGGGGACATTAACCCGAGCGGACACTGCTGTTCTCCCGCGATGGCACGAGCCAAAAGCCACCGTCCCCCCCCTTGTTGGCAATCAGAGGAGGCTCCGTTTTAGGGTCACCCACTGCGGGAGAGGGGCTCCGTGCCAAGGCCACATGGCACCGCAATTCATCAGTCGGGCTGGGATGGCCCTGACCCCGGTACCGGTCACGGTTTTAAGCAATTTGCAAATGAATAGTGTTGACACTTCTCGGACTCTTTCCTGTCGTTTTGTTGTTTTCTTTGCAGCTCTGGGCTGAATTCTTAATGGGCCCGTTTCACACCACCGCGGTTTGAAGGCCAGAGCAGAGCTTCCGGGTCACAAACCGGGGCTCCACTGTGCCCCAAACCTGCCCCTGCGCGTGCCACTGAGACTGTGAACCGTTTTAAAAGCATTATATATACAATAACAACCCTTCTGAAATTCGGGAGACTCATCAGAATTGTGCTGGCTCATTTCTTTCCGGGGTCCTGCACCATTACGCACCATTACGCACAGGGCATTATTTGCTCGTTTTGATACGCGTAAAGTTCATCTCCTGACATCCAAACAGTACAAAAGTAAAAGTCTAAAAGTCTGGAAACTATTTGGAGTCGACACCTGTAACTTTCCACCCCAAAAACGGACCGCTATCCTTCCCTCCGACCGCTCCGAGCTGCCATATTCCATCCACCGGCCCATCGACGCGCCTCCGGATCCATACGCGCTCCGACATTGATGGATGGCTGAGCGGGATTGACATCAGCGAGCGGCAAGTTTCACGCAAGAAGTTCGCAAGGCGTGAAACACTCGCCTTTCGCGCGTGAGAGAGGCAGAGTTTGATTTTTTTTTTTCCTGCTCTCGATCCAAGGAGCAAAGATGCGAGAGAGGTCAAAGCCTGGGGGCTGTGATGAAATAACGCTCCGCAGATTTATACAGTTACAGTCGCTGGAGGGGTGGAGAATAACTTGGAAGAAAAGTTTTTTTTTACCCTTAACAGACTATGTTTTGCTTTAGTCGTTTTCTTGATTAGTGAATGCAAATGTCTTTTTTTATTGCGTAAAAAACTTGTCAAGAGGTCAAATTTAAGATCTTGAGCTGAATTCCTTGCGTTTTAATCTTTAAAAGAACATTTAATTCAAGCAGTCGTGTGGAGACAAAAAAGGTTATTGGAGCCTTTTAAGGAGATAACTTCTGTTTTTCTGATCACATCCATGCTCGGTGTGACTCGTCAATTAATATTTAACCTTCAACAGAGACATCACATGAGCTGCCGGCGCCTTGTCAGAAGCTTTTTTATCAGGAACAACAAGCGCGGCTCCTCCTTATCCGTTTTTTATTTTTATCTGAGTCCTCTAATGCAATCTTTTTCAGGAATTCGAGGTTCAGCTTGCAACACGAGCAACAAACCCATGACACTGGGAGAGTGTGTGTGTGGGGAGGGGGGTCGGTGACGTCACATCGGCCCCCAGACTGGTGTGCACGAGAGCGAGGATGCACCGCGGGGGCGCGCACGTGCTCACAGATCCCCCCCCTCTCGGTCTCAACTTAACAAGAGCGCGCGGGCGCGTCGGTATATCACACACACACACACGCACGCGCACGCACACGCAGCCAGCGCGTCGGGTGCAGCGCGAGGCGCAGAAGAGCCAGAGAGCGGCAGACGGAGCAGAGCTGTGCGGCATCCCGTCCTCCGGAAACATGCTGGACTGACCGCAGAGAGGCGACTGCAATCAATGGCTCCGCTTTGAAATCGTTTGAAAAAATTTTATTGGGAAAAGGAGCGCGAGACAGAGCTGACGCGAGAGAGATCCCCTTTTTTTTTTTTTTCTCCCCCCCAGCCATGGAGCTTACAATGGAGAACATCGGAAACCTGCACGGCGTGTCTCACTCCCACCAGAGCGGCGACCTGATGAACTCCCCGCACGCGCGCCAGTCCTCGGCGTCGCACCGGAACCTGGTGTCGCACGGCCGCTCGGCCATGGTGTCCAGCATGGCCTCGATCCTGGAGGGCGCGGGGGACTACCGCGCGGAGCACGCGCTCTCCGGGCCGCTGCACCCGGCCATGACCATGTCGTGCGACTCGGGCATGAGCCTGAGCAGCACCTACACCACGCTCACGCCGCTGCAGCACCTGCCCCCGATCTCCACCGTGTCGGAGAAGTTCCACCACCCGCACCCGCACCCGCACCCGCACGCGCACCACCACCCGGCGCACCAGAGGCTGGCGGCGGGCAACGTCAGCGGCAGCTTCACGCTGATGAGGGACGACCGGAGCCTGGCCTCCATGAGCAACCTCTACGGCCACTACCCCAAAGACATGTCCGGCATGGGCCAGCCGCTGTCCCCGCTGCCCAACGGCCTGGGCTCCCTGCACGGATCCCAGCAGGGCCTCGGCGCCTACGGCCCCGGGGGCCACCTCTCCAACGACAAGATGCTCTCGTCGGGCGGGTTCGAGTCCCACGCGGCCATGCTGTCCCGGGGAGAGGAGCACCTGGCCCGGGGCCTCGGCGGCCACGGGGCCGGGCTCATGACGTCCCTGAACGGCCTCCACCACCACAGCCACCCGCACTCTCAGGCCAACGGCGCCATGCTGTCGGAGCGGGACCGGCAGACGGTGGTGGGCGGCGGGCAGGGGTCCGGCTCCGGCCAGGTGGAGGAGATAAACACCAAAGAGGTGGCGCAGCGCATCACCGCCGAGCTCAAGCGCTACAGCATCCCGCAGGCCATCTTCGCGCAGAGGATCCTGTGCCGGTCCCAGGGAACCCTGTCCGACCTGCTGCGGAACCCTAAACCGTGGAGTAAGCTCAAGTCCGGCCGCGAGACGTTCCGGAGGATGTGGAAGTGGCTCCAGGAGCCCGAGTTCCAGCGGATGTCGGCGCTCAGGCTTGCAGGTGAGTGAGGAGACAGCTCCCCAACCTGAGTGATGTGGAGGGATCAATTAGGAGTCAATGTGGCGAGACTGCCAATAGCTGCTCAAACAGACATTACTAGAAGTTATTAGTCGATTGTATCGAGTAAAAACTTCATCATGACAGTTGGGGTGTTAAATGTTGGGGGGAAATCTATATTTTGATTGATGCTACAAACCGCGACGGTATAAACAAACGCTACATGCGTGATAAACAAAAGACAACACGTTTCTGTCTCAAGCATTCTGTGGACGGCTTTGGTTTTACGCACAGATTCAACATGGATACATTCATCCCTCTCCATCTGTCTCCTCTCTCTGTAGCCCTCTCTCTCTCTCTCCCTCCCACACACATGCACACAAACAAGCACTCTCACAAAAATAGGTCTAACAAAGGAACTCAGCCGGGGCGTGTTGGGGCTATTTTGAGGTCTAACTGACATGAAGATATGTCCCTTAATTCATCAGACAAACTTGATCTGATACTTTGTCACTCCTCTTGTCTAATAAGCACGTCGTCGCCAGCAAAAGGTAGTGTGTGAGGCCTGGCCGGAGAGAGCCTGGGGGGAGCGTGACCTCCCACGGATCAATATTTGGGGTCCAGGCGTCCCCTTTCAGAGCAGCACACTGATAAATGATCGATTTGGAACTGAAAGACAGAGACGCAAACAGATGCGTCTTTTCTCTGGCCCGCCTTCTCCCCCGTGCTCCCCGGGATCGTCACGTCTCCAGATTTTGATTTCAGGGCCTGTCGTGTGTAGCTGAGAAGCCTCTGACCGGGGCTCGTGACGTTGCGTGGCACGTGACTGACGCCAAAAAGCTCGGTTTGACTTCCTCAGAGCTCCGGCCCCTTGATCGCTCATTTCGATTTTTATTGCGCAAAGATTATCACATTAAAGGCTGTGATTTGAACACCGCCCCCACACACTGTCACACACACACACACACTCACACACACACGCAAACACACACACACACACACACACTCAAACACACAAGGACCTCCCCTTTAAAGTCTTTAACACCTGATTAACGGGACATAAATGAAAACGAGACGACACGCGGGGTTAAAACGGCCACGAGAGTGAGAAGTCCCCTCTCATTGATGTTTTCTAAAGGCCCCGTTTCGGCGTGCTCGCGCCTCCAAACGTCAATCAGCGCATCCGTGTCGTATTTCAGCGAACAGTTCAATTAAGCAGATATAGTGGCATATTTTAGTTCCAGTCGATGCCCTATTGAAAAGCACTTAATGGCATGTAAATTGTTCCTTTGCGTATTTAGTGGGGTTCTGGTAAATAAAGATTTAAACACTCCACAATTGTCTCTTTAAGTGCCACTGCTGTTAAAGCTAATTGGGCTGTGGGGTTTTATATCTTCCGCGCCAGACATCAGGATAAAACCTCCTGTTCGACTGACGCGTCTGTGTGGCACGATCCATAGTCCGCGCGCGCGCGTGCACACCTCCAGCGTGCGTTAGAGGGGCCCGGGCAGGGCAGCCCGTGGCAGGAAAACGCAGATTAGCTCAGATTATTCTGCAGAAAAAGACGCACGAAGCGTCAAATTTTGGAGCCAGCGTTTTGAGAGACACAACGATGCTATTTTCAAAAGAATTTGGTGGTGTTTTGAGCCAGCGTTTTGTTAGACCCTGATTAACGGGCAGCAGGTTGAGCTCGTGGGATCTATTGTGCATTAAGCCACCAACAGAGAGACTCAGGTTTGGCAAAATGACGAATGACCCGTATGTAAATTCAAGGGGGACGACATTTTACTTACTGCATTCAAAATCACAATTATCCTGGGTGTGCATGTGGGCTGGGAGTGGGAGTTGAGTGGGGGGG